TGGTTCTGTTGCTCTCCTTGTAGAGCTCCTGTTCTCTCCGGGTCTTACTATCTCCCCCTTCTTTCATAAGACTCCCTGCATTCTACCCAAAGTTTGGTTGTGAATCTCAGCATCTGCTTTGATACACTGCTGGGTAGAGTCTTTCAGAGGCCCTCTGTGGTAGGCTCCTGTCCTGTTTCCTGTTTTGTCTGTCTTCCAGTGTCCATCCAATTTGTCTTTCTGAGTGAAGATTGATCATCTTACTCAGGGTCCTCCTTCTTCTTTAGGAATACAGATTTTAGTATGTTTATACTATATTATATGTCTAATATCCACTTATAGGTGAGTATATACCATGTGTGTCTTTCTGTTTCTGGGATACTTCACTCAGGATAATCTTTTCTAGATCTCACCATTTGCCTGCAAATTTTATGATTTCCTTGTTTTTAATTGCTGAGTAGTATTCCATTATGTAAATGTACCACAACGTCTGTATCCATTCCTCAGTTGAGGGACATCTGAGTTGTTTCCAGGTTCTGGCTATTATGAATAAGGCTGCTATGAACATGGCTAAGCAAATGTCCTTGTTATATACTTGAGCATCTTTTGGATATATGCCTAGGAGTGATATAGCAGAATCTTGAGGAAGCGCTATTCCTAATTATCTGAGAAAGCACCAGATTGATTTCCAAAGTGGTTGTACAAGTTTACATTCCCACCAACAATGGAGGAGGGTTTCCCTTTCTCCATATCCTCCCCAGCATGTATTGTCACTTGAGTTTTTGATCTTAGCCATTCTGATGGGTGTAAGGTGAAATCTCAGTATCGTTTTGATTTGCATTTCCCTGATGACTAAGGACATTGAGCATTTCTTTAAGTGTTTCTCTGCTATTCGATATTCCTCTACAGAGAATTCTCTGTTTAGTTCTATATCACATTTTTAGTTGGATTACTTAATTTGTTGCTTATTAACTTCTTTAGTTCTTTATATATTCTGGATATTAGCCCTTTGTCAGATATAGGGTTGGTGAAGATCCTTTCCCAGTCTGTAAGCTGTAGTTTTGTTCTGATGGCAACATCCTTTGCTTTACAGAAGCTTTTCAGTTTCATGAGGTCCCATTTATTGATTGTTGATCTTAGAGCCTGACACTTAGCTTTTTAAGATTCTTCAGGCTGATGAATACACATGATTCTATTATGCTTCTCTTCACCAAGGTCACCAGTAACTGTCCCTGGAAGCCAGATAAACTCATTTCACAGCTTTTCCTTTGAACGTTGGTGAAGCATTTAACTGGGTGATGCACATGAAGCCCTATCTCCTGTTTTGTTTTGTTTGTTTGTTTGTTTTGGGTTTTTTTCTGTTGTATGTCTCTCCAGATGTTTCCTTTGGTTTGTTTTTCCATCCTCTAGACATCTATAATGTCTAGAATCTAACTCCACGAGGTTTGGAGAGTTTCTGGATGACCCATCTAATGGGAGAGTGGGGTATTGAAATCAGCCACCCTCACTGTTTGGGGGCCAATTTAATTTTCTATTTTAATTATCTATTTTATCTGTAATTATGGTTTATTAAAATAAAGTATAGCTTGATCTTGGGGTAGTACTATTTTCCTGAGAAAGTGGCAGATTGATTTCCAAAGTGGTTGTTCAAGGTTACCTTCCCACCAGCAATGGAGAAAGGCTCCCCATTCTCCACATCCTCTCCAGCATGTATCATCCCTTCAGTTTTTTATCTGAGCCATTTTGATGGGTGTGAGGGAAGATGCTTAATCCTTATTCAGAAGGGCAAACTGATAGACATTGGAAGTAGGAGAAGACAAGGAGCAGGACAAGAGCCTTCCACAGAGGACATCTGAATGACTCTACCCACCATGGTATTGAAGGAAATACTGACCTTCACAGCCAAACTTTGGGCAGAGTGCCAGAATCCTTATGGAAGAAGAGGGAGATAGAAAGACAAGATGGGGACAGGCACTTCACAAGGAGATCAACAGAGCCAAAATACCTGGGCCCATGGGGGGCCTACAAAGACAGATACTCCAACTAAGGACCATGCATGGACAGGAACTAGAACCCCTATTCAATGGGAGCCATTGGCTGCTCAGTTTTCAAGTGGGTTCCCTAGTAAGGGGTATAGGGACTGTCTCTGACATGAACTCAATTGCAGGCTCTTTGATCATCCCCTACATGGAGGGTTTAGCTTTGCCAAGCCATAGAGAAAAATGATGCAGCCAACCTTGATGAGACCTCATAAGCTAGGGTCAGAAAGAAGGGGAAATGTCCTCCCCTATCAAGGAATTAGGGATAGGGCATACAGGGAGAAGAGGGAGGGTGGGTGGGGCTGGGAGGAGAGAAGGAAGGTGGCTGCAGTGGTGATACAAAGTAAATAAATTTTAACAAGTAAATATATAAATAAAATTTAAAAGGAAAAAATAAAAATAAAGTAGTGTATCTTCTTTTGCTCTGTCTTCCAACAACCATATGATAATTTTGACTTTACTTTTTAACTTTCCTCCTTTGATAACAGTATATGTACTTTGTAGAAACCTGACTAAATATTTAACAAATTAATAAATAAAGTCAGACTTAGGAGAAGAAACCATGCTTCCTTAAAAGCATTTATAAGAAGAAAAGTCTAATTCATGGATATTACCTAGAACCCCTGCACAGATGTAGCTCATAGCAACTCAGTATCCAAGTGGGTTCCCTAGTAAGCGGAACGGGACTGTCTCTGACATAAACTCAGTGGCTGGCTCTTCAATCACCTCCCCCTGAAGGGAGAGCAACCTTGCCAGGCCCAAAGGAGTACAATGCCACCAGTCCTGATCAGACCTGATAAGCTAGGGTCAGATGGAGGGGAGGAGGACCTCTGCTATCAGTAGACTTAAAGGGGGGAATGGGAGGACATGAGGGAGTGAGGGTAGGATGGGGAGGGAATGACGGAGAGGGGCTACAGCTGGGATACAAAGTGAATAAACTGTAATTAATACATAAAAAATAAAAATTTAATTAAAAAGAAAAGTCTATGAAGTTCACACATTTCTCATTAAACACTCACCGCATGGTAGAGATATGTTTGATTACATTGTTATAATTTGACGTTCTTCACGAAATGACAGGCATAGGTAGTACTACTCACATTTCACAGGGTGGAAAATTGAGGTGTAGAGTTAAAGTATTTTGCCTGACATCACATAGATGGTGAATTACCCAGCTGTGATTTGTCTTCAGTTGATCTGCAGCCCATACTCTGTTCACTAGAACACACTGCCAAGCATCAAAGAGTCTAGATGCCAGAGCAGCACAGGACTCATCCTTGATGTCGTCATTGATTTCACATTAGTTGTTGTTTTAATGTGTCATCAAACCAAGCATGGTTTTTAAATACGATTGCAAGGACCTTGATGGAAACACATTCGCTTTTCTAGTATAAATATTTCTAAATAATCTCATTGCAGAAAAGACAGTTACTCTGTATAACACTAATTATATGAAATACTAATTGTACATAAAGTGGGCCATGGATAAAATTTGAAAGGTTCTTTGGGATGTTGGGGTTTGGAGCTGTTTACAAATACTATGTGGCTTAAATCATGACACAATACTTACTCCAATGGCTTTCAATATTTAATACTCATATCTAGACACTTTCCCAGCAGCTCTTAATGTATAGTACTTTTTCCTAATTCTTAAGATCTTTGAAAATGGTTTCTGATGTCCAAAGGGCATAAAATATTCCCTTATACAAGTTTGAAAGTATTATAAAGTTCTAAAATATATCCTTAACCTACATTATGAAGTGTTTAGCTTATTCTAATTGGAAATCAAAGATATCTATATTAAACAGTGATTTTACTACTAAATACTTGAAAATATTATTCAACACATCAATGTTAGCATTTCATATAATATACTTAGAAGAAAGGACTGAGGTCTAAAATGAATTATCACATTCAATAAAGAACCGAGTACTTTTTCTTTTCTATTAAAATTCCCTTGAAAACTAGAGGTTATGATAATTTTGTGAAGAATATTCATTAAAAAAATGAATCAGTTACATTGGGTTATCATTGGCCAATGTAGATGGTAAAGAAAATTGATGAGGTCAGTGTACAGGACAAATAACTCAGCATACCATGGCTGAGTGTACCAAGGGGATACTGCTAGATTAGAACAAATGACCTCATCATTTCCATCAATTCTGTTAAGAGCAAAATGTACCTCTGAATGAGCCATTTAAGGTGTGTGCTTAACACTTGTGATCCCTGGTTAATACAGTCACACTCCACACTCCATTCTTTTCTCTATGCAATTTTGACAAATACAGTTGCTCTTCCTTGGCTTTCTCTAAAAGGAGCGGTAATTATAGGAGCTCTGTCTCCTCAGAAAGTTTAAATAAAACTAGCTCTTCCAGAGATAATAGGACTTTGTCCTCCCTCAGTAATTCTGGCTTCTAAATATAGTAGAAGCTGGGGTGAGTTTCCGTGGCAGAGTGAATGCTTAGCATGTGGGATGCCCTTGGTTCAAGCTCCCCTGTGGCTAAATAAACAAGTTAGTAAGTAAACACTAAACTGACTTCAAAATGACAAATAAATAGAAATAAGTGAACTTACTTTTTTCCTTATAAAGACATGAAATAAATGTCTTTATAATTTTAGTTCTTTCATTGTGTAATAGACCTGATATAATTAATGTTTTAAATAACAGAAGAAACACTTCTAAGAGAACCAGTTGTATGACATTCGATGCCTATCTTTACCACACCCAGACTTGTGATGATTACTCTCTTCAAGTGTTAAAACAGTTGTTAGGCTTCTTTCTGAAACCAACTTATTATTCAAGACTTATTTTCCCACTTGTGCTTTTAAAACTATATATCATTAAGCCCATGTAGATGGTAATAACAAACATTGGTAATAAAAAAAAAGATTAAGTATTTAATAAAACTTTAACATCATGTCTTTCCCTCTGGGTAAGATTAACAGACATTATTAAAAATTACCTTCCTTCCTTCCTTTCAGTGCCAAAACATTAGCAGAAATAATGAGCAAGGAAATGGCTATGAAGAGGATGTTTTCTTGTTTTCTACATATTCACCCCGTAAGTCTTTCTCTATTCCATGAATACATATAGGTTTCTAATATAATATATGAAACTCAAAAATAAGACTGAAGAGAATGTGGGAAGATATTTTATCAATCAAAAGATTTTTAAATGATACTGCAGTAAAAATATTTTACCTATGTTGCTAACTTATACACCTTTTACAAGATCAAGATTTAACAATCACATGTTTTCCTACCCTGAAAACATACAGAAATCACTTTGATATTCATCTCTGAGTATTTGAAAACTGTGTTTCCAAATCTGTTTTCCAAAACTTAATCTCGTTCTCTGTGGAGCTAAGTCCTCTCAGCTGTGAGGTGAAAATCTGAGGCAAGGATCATTCATAAGGTCCTCCATGCTGTAGCACATTTAATTCTATGTCTAAAATTTGAAGAATTCAGTGTTCCTACATGTTGAGGCTAGGTCTCCTTAGCATGCGATGGCTTGCTCATCATCTTCACCAGCATTTATGATAGGCATCTCACCCATCATTTCTGAAAACCCTGAACTCTGCTATACCCCAATATCTCCACCTGCTGAATTGCCTCCTCAGCCAACAAAAAGGCCTTTTCTTTTCCTTCCAAGTTAGTTCAAAATTCTTGAAATCACTCTTGACTTCTGTTTTTTTTTGTTTTTGTTTTTGTTTTTTGTCTCCCACTCTAAGTCCACTCCACCATAATACTATTGCCTATACCTTCAAAATGTTGCCAGAATTCACCCAGTCGTCATTGTTCATTGCTATTTTTCCTAGAGAGAGAGTGGCTATGACTACCCGCCTCAGGATATGTGCAGTTTCTGCTTCCTCTACATGCTCTTCCTCTCTGGGTCATCCTAATTTCCTTCCTTGCTTCATCCCGTCTTACCATTTTTTAAAATTTTCCCTTGGCTTGTGCCTTTCTCCATTGTGCTCAGCATCATCCAGCATTATATTTCACTTGTGGTTCATCATTTATAGCCTGTCCCCTTTATTTTAAATACCTGTTGTGGAAAATAAGGATTGTTTTGTTCACGTCCATATAGGCTATAGCACTATATGATGAATGCTCAGTTAGACACTACTGACCACAAACTTTTCAAATGACAAGCTGATATGCAAGTCAGATAAAGCTCACCGAGTAGACTTTGATAAAATCCATTGAACAGTATCACAATACACATATTAAATTACTGATAAGGGTTGTGGGTTATATATTTTATCACCTTACTAATGAAAGGTTATGATAAAGTTCACTAATAATACTGACCACACATCTATCATAACATTCCATCCTCTGAAGAATTGCCAATAACAAGAGAACATTATTGAAACTTTCTGTAAAGAAAAATCTCATCTTTATAGCTGAATCACAGAGCTCTCTCATCTCTGTAACTGTAACTGGACCCAGCCCCCAGTTTTCACGGACTCAGGCAAGGTCAAGCTCCCACCGGCATCTCAATAATGATGGGGCATCCTGAAACCCTCTGCCCACTAACTCTACCTTGCCAGGGCTGGACGCCGGGTGTGGATATACCTAACAAGCACATGGAACTTCTGCTCCTTGTTAGTTGTCAAATGCTGGTTCCAAGAAGTGCTCATGGGCAATTTCCTGTAATTTGGCTGTAATTCTGGGCTTAGACAAAAGAGTCAAGCATCTTTAGGTACTTGTGGCCAAGCAATAGGTCCCTTCTAGTCATTACAACCTTTCCATCAGAATTCCTAGGGAATTCTGTTAGAAATAGAAAAACGAATGAGACCTTTGATGAAAAGTCTCAGTACACACACACACACGTCTGCCTGCTCTTCCCATACTAGTAAAAAGGAGCTATGTAGTGGGCAGCTTTTTAATACATAGCAGATCACAAACTCTTATTAACTGCTACAGATAACGTGTGTAAGTGAAATTGTTCAATCTTCACCATAAATAGCCATACAATCTCCAGCATTTCATCATGAACTCAGGAAGACACACAGGCAAAGCACAGAGAGTTCTGAGGAACCCAAACTGGCTTTGGACACAAAGGAGGAAGAGCCAAGTGCTGAGGCAAGACCCAGCCTGCCAGAGGTGGACAGTGAAAGCTCTGAGAACCAGTATGATGACTTGTATGTGTTCATTCCTGGAATTGAGGCAGGAGGCAACTCTCAAGAGTCCCTCCCATGCTGCAGACCTCCTCCGCCCCCACCACGACCATGGGCTGCTGCCTCCTCCCAACTAGAAAGACCTTACTTCACCTCACAAGGTAAGTGTACAGCTAAAAAATGCAAAGAAACAATACGGTTTTCAGATCCTACAAAACTAGCCAATATATGGCCATTGCTTGAAAAGGTGAAATTTGAAGGGGCTGGAGAGATGGCTCAGCAGCTAGGAGCACTTACTACTCTTGCAGAGGTCCCATGTTCTGTTGTTCTGTTCTTAGAACCTATATAATGTCTCACAACTGTCTGTGACTCTATTCCAAGGGATCTGTCTCCTTCTTCTGGCTTCTTTGGGCACTGCATACATGCAGGCAAATACTCATACACATGAAGTTTTTTAAAAAAAAAAACATGTTTTCAAATGAATTTTTGAAACAATAAGGCACTGTCTCTGGGAAGGCTCATGTTTATCAACATAAGTTGCACTAAGGTTCCACACTATGTTAGGAAACCAAACCTGGGAAATACTTCTCTAACCCATTCATCCTCATTCATTGCTCACCTTCAATAGACCAAGCTTTTGTGGACCCTTCAGAGAACAGTGCACTTGGCACATAAAAAAATCTGTGGGAGAAGATGACAGGTTAGCAGCAGGCTGGCCACAAAATCCCACTGTATTTTTTATATTTAAAATGTTTAAATAATAAAAACTATAAAATGGAAATATGATCTTATGTCAGGTTAAATGTCGGGTCTATAAGATATAATATCGTACCATAGTTTTCCTAAGTCTTCATATACAGTGTGTTGGTTAAGAAACTTAATACCACTGTTTCCTAAGTTTAACCAGATATCTATGACCAAAATCATAATGTTGGTAATATATCTCCTAAAAACTAGCACAGATAAAAGGCAACCTCACAAAACCTTGTTTTTTATTTAAAACTAATATTGCCAAATTAATTTGCTTAATAATAAAAATTTTACAAATGAGTTTCATTATAATATTCATTATACGAAAATATAATGTATTTTCATCATATTAATTCTCCCATACTTTCTTGTCCCCTTCTCCCTGGTCCCCTTCCTCTTGCCAATTGCTTTCTTTTCTACTTTTATATCTTTTTTTTTCAACTCATCTTTTCATCATAGCACTGAAAAGCAAGCAGAAAAGAAAACAGCGCTATTTGTTAACGTATTTTTATAAATGTTCTTTTTCATTTTACTTTGTGTATATGAATGTTTGGTCGGCCTGAGCAAATGTGTGCGTACTACACGCCATGTCTGTCGGACCTCACAGGACTGAGGTTGCTAGTGGTGGTAAACCACTACATGGCTGCTTCTAATCAAACTCAGATTTGCTCTTGGCCACTGAGTCCATTGGCTAAGATCTGTCCTTGAAAATAGGCATCCGACCTGCCGATGTACCCATTGGATAAACTACTGATACACACCACCATTGAGCATCTTTTTACTGTCACAGCAACCGAGAAACTGAACTACCACTGTGACTCATCTACCACTCAGACACCAGGCCAAAGAGCCTATAACTAGAATGTGCCAAGGGCTTGCTCTCCGGGTTCTTGTCTTTCCTATCTACTGAGCCCTATTGTTTTAGCAGGGGAAGCAATTCGCTCCTAGGAGGGATTCACTTAATGTCTATTAGTATACAACTTGGAGTAAGAAAACTTGGGCCTCACTCCTTAACGCGAAGTATAACCTGACAGCTTGGAAGAATAAAAAGTAAAATGTATGATTTCTCGTGTTGAGTCCAACTTTAGAACAAGTTAGAGAGAGTGGTGGGTGGGGAACAAAGAGAGTTAACAGCTCAGGAAATGGGTTCATGAAAGTGAGAGTTGACGCATTTTGCTAAAAATGAAGTGCTGTAAAAGTCTTTCCCACACACTTAATCAGGATCTACCCAGAGGCTGTCAGGCAAACAGAAGTCATGGAGTCAAGATCTCAAAGCCATATTATTCATGTCGAAAGAGGAGAGGCATGGGGATTTTAAGCTGGTGCCAGGCACACAGGCCATTAACACTTTTTAGGTGAAACTAACCAGAGGAAGAAAGTTTAAAATGCTTTGGGAGGGTGTCACAGTGGCTCCTCCCAGGACTTCCAAAAGCAATTCCTGAATATTCTTGTAAGAAAACCCTCTTATGTGGTTCTATTAGTTGTATTTTCTCTGGTTGTCTGAGATTTTCCACAAAAATCTCACTTACAATAATTGTTATCAGATTCATGCTATCCAAATGAAGGCAAGCTGATAATAAAAGATTAAACAATAATATTCATAGTGAAAGGCCTTCAATAGTAGTTCTTTTTAGTTGTTTTAACGTATTAACTGGAGTGTTTCATATGCTTATCTGCTTAGCAGCTGCTACTGAAATATCTTAGCATTTTCTTACAAAGTAGGTACGTATTTTACTGAGTATGGACCCCTAAGAGATCTGAATGTGCCTTCTGCTCACACAGCAATCCTTAAGCCAGTGATTGTGCCCACTGTCTGTTATGTTGAGACCTCCATTTTGGTGTCACGTTTCTGGATGAGGTTCATATTCATCTGTGACAACCAAGAGTTGAGCTTTTTAAAGTCACAGCAGGGAAACACTTGCTAGGACAGACAATGGTGGTACATCTGACTATTCCCTCAAATCATTTTCAGAGAGATTAGATTTTAGGTGAAATATCCAGTACAAGCAGTTGGAAAGGGAAAATGTCTTACTAAAAAAAGTCTATGAGTTTTATGCTTTAAAAACCCTTTTTCAATGGATTTGGAGTTTGATATATACATTTATGACTAAATTTCCAGATAATAAATACATACCAAAAATAATGTTTGAGAAATAATATTTTTAAAACAGATATTAAAGTATTTTCTTTGCAGAACTAGCAATTCCAGGCTGTATAAGTGAAGCACACAACTGGCTTTTAAAAATTTTTTTATCATAATATAAAAACATTTTACTAGAGATGGGGCCTTTTTCATATTGTTTTCAATGGCATCTGAGGAAGCTGATTTGAGATGATATAGGAAATTAAAGTCAGCAAGAATATTGCACGAACTATAAGAATAAACCCAAACTAAATGTTTTCCTTAGCAGGGAAAATGGCGGAAGACCAAATGGAAAGAAGTCAGAACTGGAATAACCTCAATGTGAGAGAAGAGACGAGAGAGGAACCCAGCAAAGAAGAAAAGAAAGAAGAGGACATTCCAAAAGAGGAGGAGGAAGAGCAAGAAAACCCATACACGTTTGCTGGGATTGATGACAATGAGTACGATCTGATCCTGGCCAGTAAGAGTGTAAAGAAGAGAACAGGAAATCGCTCTTTCATTATAAACAGACCTCCTGCCCCGACACCCCGGCCCACTCATGTCCCTTTCAAAGAAGAAACAACACCTTACATAGCTCAAGGTAAAATTTTGTTGTTTATGAACTTTTTTTCTCAATATTCAAATTTTGTGTGCATGGATGTTTTGCCTGTATGTATGTCTGTGTAATACATGTATTCCTGGAGGCCAGAAGAGGTCATTATGTTCTGAAAATAGAAATACGGAGCCTTGTAATCTGCTGTGTGGGTGCAGAAATTGAACCTGGGTCCTCTGAAAAAGCTGCCAGTAATTTTAGCCACGCAGCCGTGTCCCCAACTCCTACTTGTTGATGTTTTTTTGTCCCTTGGTTTGTGGGAGGCATGAGGTTGGGAGTTGGGGTATAAATTGAGGTGACTAGTGATTTAGAACTCCGCAGGCTGTAGCATCTTTTCAGGTTGCAGGTAAGTTACATTGGGCCAATTTTTAATATTTTTATTAATTTTTTGATAATTTCATACATGTCTACAAAATCATATTCATCCTATCCCTTCAGGTCCACCTTCCCCCTCCCAACTTTGTGTCTTTCTTTTTTTAATAATTTTCCTAGACCAGTTTTTGCTGCCTACATACCCAGAGTGGATCCATCAAGGCTTACCTATCTTAAAGAAAGCAGACTCTCCCACTCCTATAAGGCATTAACTGTCAGTGGCCCCTCATTTAGTTGTGGGCTTTTCTGAGCCCTTCCTTCCTCCCTCCATGATAGAATTTTGACTAATTGATATCATGCAGTTCTTACACAGATAGCCAAGACTGCTATGAGATGATGCGTGCCCCAGTCTTGTCCTCTCCGGAAAGCACTGTTTTGCTCTGGTTTTCTTGCTCTTATAATCTTTCTGTTCCTTCTCCCCAATGGTCCCTGAGCCTTGGAGATGCGGAGGTGATACAGATGTCCCAATTGAGGCTGAGCACCCCACAGTCATTTTGTCTCTGCAATGTGACCAGTTGTGAGTTTCTGTGTTAACTATATCATCCATTGTACCAATGAACTTCTCTGATGAGGTCTGAGAGCGGTATTAATTTGTGAGTAGAAGGACATGAACTTATAGGGTAGTTTGATACTGTATCCATTTGGCAAAATAGTAATATGTTCACTCCTGGGGCCTGTACTCTCTCCAGCCATGTGTTCTTGGACAGATCTGTAATACACAGTAAACATCTACGCTTGGGGAATGGGCCTTAAGTACCAGCAGTTGTTACCACGATAATATCTGTACCACTATGCTATTCATGGCCAGAGCCTGCCACAACCATCCTTGTTGTACGTGATAGCTTTCATAACCGGATAAGATTCATTCTACCATCTTTACTATAAAACCTAGGGAGCAGATATCCAGCTTCTTAGTGCAGATTAGATTCTCCATGCCCTTCGATATGAGTGTGAGGTGTCTTCAACAATAATAGGGCCTTAACTGTTATGGTAATCTATGATGGCCAACTAAGAGCATTGGTTTAAAAAAAAAAAAAAAAAAAAAAAAAAAAAAAAAAACATCATTGTTTGTGGGGATCTCTGTCATATCCCTGACCAGTAACTCAAGGCATGGTATCTCATAATCTGGCAATGGGATTTTTATTTACAAACTACCACTCTTGGGAGACTATAATCTACTGCTTAGGGTAACTCTAGTTAAACCCTTCTATTACATATGTTTTCATATGGCTTTTCAAACATTCTTTGTATTAGTTTTTCCCTACTATCTCTCTACCCACTTAAATCTTCCCATTATTCCCACTATTTTTTCCAGTTTAGGAAAATAATGAATAAAGGAGTTGTGGAGAGGATGTAAACACATTATTCATATAATAAACTCTCAAAAGAAATGAAAATTTAAAATAAAAAATGAATAGAGAAAAATTAAATTTTTGATCATGCTTTCTAAGTCTTCATTAATAAGGATAATATAATTTGATAATTCTTACTTAATTCTATAAAAGTCAATTAGAGGCAGTCTTCCTCCCCTTCCATCTGACCCTAGCCTATCAGGTTTCAGCAGAACTGGCTGCATTGTCTTCCATTGTGGCTTGGTAAGGCTGTTCCCCCCTCTCAGGGAGAAGTCATCAGAGAGTCAGCCACTGAGTTCATGTCAGAGACTGTCCCTGTTCCCCTTACTAGGGAACCTACTTGGATACTGTGCTCCATGGGCTACATCTGAGCAGGGGTTCTAGGTTATCTCCATGAATGGTCATTGGGTGGAGTATCAGTCTCAGAAAAGACCCCTGTGCCCATATTTTTTTGGATCTGTGGACTAGGGGAAGGGCATGGAAAGAGAAGAGGAAGAGGGCAGGATTGGGAAGGAATGAATGGGGAAGGGGACAGCTAGGATATAAAGTGAATAAATTGTAATTAATAAAAAAAAATTGGGCTGGAGAGATAGCTCAGAGGTTAAGAGCACTGACTGCTCTTCTGAAAGGTCATGAGTTTGATTCCCAGCAACCACATGGTGGCTCACAATCATCTATATCTGATGCCCTCTTCTGGCCTGACCGTGTACATGCAGGCAGAACAATGTATACATAATAAATAAATCTTTAAAAAAATAATAAACAAATAAATAAAATCAATTAGACTGAGAGGAACGGAGTAGGAAATTCAGATTGTGAATTCAGAATAAGTAATTGGTGGCTGGAGAGATAGCTTCATATGCAAGCATGAGGACATGCTCAAAGCCCCAGTGGGAAGTCAGACATGGATGTGCATGCCTACATGCCCAGCATTAGAAGACTTCCGCCACATCTTTCTGAGTCCTCCCACTCAAGCAGATCTACTAAAGGGAATGCCCATCATTTCCCAGAAAGGCATCCATCCCAGCATCCATTCATTAGGAGAACATCAGTTTGCACCATTCTTGATTCTCTCCAGAACACAGAGTGGCAGCAGGGTGATAGCACACCGGTACTGTAAGGCAGCCAAAGAGGAAGCTGTAAAGTACAAAATGGAGGAGGGAAACAGGGTAAGGAACCCAAGTATACCATTTCAGAGACTGAACAAAGAAAAAGCAGAGGGATAGGGAAAGCCATGGTAATGTTGCAGAAATAGCTTTGCTCCAGATCTCAGCAAGGAATGACTCTGAAGCCCTAATTCTAATATAGAAAAAGGTTCTATATATTTCTTGGGTTCTATCAAAGTCAGACATTATGGAAGCTAGATAAGTTCAGAGTCTGGCAGAAAGGAGCGTCTGTGGCCTACTGAAATACGTGGGCTTGGTCTGCCACTCAAGATATCAGTAGAGGCAACTTCTGTGATCTCTCACTCACATGGAATCTCTGTGTGGTTTACATTGCCACTCTCACTTCAGAGCTAAGGGAACTGATCCGAAAAGGGCTTCAGTGTTCTGCCCGATGACGAAGCTAGAAAGCAGCACCAGCAGCACTGAACCCCTGCCTTCTGCTCCCCACACCTGTGAACCCTCAACCGTGGGTTCCTTCCACCAATACATTTGTTTTACTTTCATGCATTCACATTTATTTCCCCACACACACACACTAACCCACACAATCCACAAAGGAAGAGATCGGCCACCTCGGATTTCTTTTCCATCATTAAATCCTTGTTCAGTGTTGGCATCGGAAACTGAGAAAATTTGATAAATATTAGCTGATGAACAAATGAAGAAACAGGATCTACATCCATGTGGCTACAGTAGAAGACTTCACTAAGACTATGGAAGATATTGTAAAGACTGCAGCAGCCTACTAATTTATTTTCCCTGCCCTAAAACACTCAGTGTTTGTAGCATACTAATTTGTGGGGAGAGCTCTTCCAAAGCTCCAAGATATCCACATATACCTCTTTTTTAAAAAAATTTGTGCTGTACATATCATATCATAGCACTCCACCATTCTCTAACCCCAGAAATGTAACTTAACAATCCAAAACTGAACACACATCCATCCATTTTATCAGCAGACATGTTTCTGATTCTGATTGTTCTTGTGTGAAACACACCCTAAGGTAAAGAACTACAATGGGAATAGTTCATTTTTTAAACATTTTTTATATAATCTCCCTGATCTCAGATCTCATTGTTCTTAACCCTTTCTTCTCCTTGTTATATTGTATAGAACCAGGCATATTAGGCAACAAAAAAATATTATGGAATACCATGGATTTATATCTTTCTGTGACAGAATTATTGATTTAAAACAAATCAAGGAGAGAAAAGGGTAACCAGTGTGGCATAGATAGACTAGAAGTGAACTCCATCTCTAGATCATGCAAAGATGTAAATTCTTATTAGGGAAAGTTTTTAGCATCAAGGAATCATTTTTTATTTTCCCCTCATACAATTAATGGAATAAGGATAGGATGGAGTCCATGTGGCTGATTTGGGGCAGAACACAATCTCCTTTCAATTTGCAGTTGCTCCTGAGGTATCCTTGGCATTTTGCAGTGCAACAAAGTTGTATATGACCTTCTTGAGGGCATCTCAGCTACCAAGACCCTAAAATGTCAAGTACAACTCAGTTGCTCTCAGAAAATTTCCACTTGCATTTCACTTGTACTTGAAACTGATCACATACAATGAATTGAGAAGGGGGAGCTCTTGTAGAAACTCTTGGGGAATTTAATCTCTACCATTGTGAATATGGCAGAGTAGAATTTCTTCATTAGTAAAGAAATATATTCAAGTGGATTAAAGTAGGTCTTAGAGCCAGAGTCTTGTAGCCCACTCTCTGCCAAGGTGACCTTGTCTAAGACATTTAGTTTCAGGACACTATATGCATGTCACAGGTGCTCTCAGAACAGAGTGACATAGTCATCCTACTGTTAGAAAGGCTAGGGTCCCTGCCTTTCTAGTGAAGTTCTTCATCCTTCTGTGAAAGGGTGCTGGTCCAGCTCCACAAAGGAGCTTGCACTTTGACCGAGCATGTACTGTTCATTGAACAGAAGAATACTGTTGTGTAACCTGGGTTTAATGAATTGTTCTCCTTGTCCTCAGAGCAGAACACCATGGTCTTCTGGCTCATTCACAGAGACAGCGAATGAAACCAAGGAGGACTTTGCAGGCCATCTGTTAGAAAACTAATATAAGGACAAATCTTTTA